TCCCCTGGTTTCCTCTGGTTCTTTTGGGCACTGGGCTCTTGGTGGCCGTCCAGGGTAGAAGACCCTGCAGAAAGCTGTTAGGGGGTGGGGCCTCAGACTTGCCCCCATCGCAGCTCCATGGCCTCCCCTGTCCTCCGCTCAGGGAGCTTCCATGAACACCCAGGCAGGGCGCAGCCCCCACAGCCAGGACACAGGATGCCCCTCGCGGCTCACGGCCCTCGGCCATCCCTCTGTGCCTGTCCCTCTAGCTGTGCCTTTTCAGGTGTCACATGGTTGGAATCCACAGTGGCCTCTGGGCCTGGCCTCCCACACTCAGCCTGAGGTGTCCCTAGCTACAGGACGCCTGACACTGTGGGGATTCTGTCCCAACAAATAAGAAGCTCAGGACCTTCCTTCTCTTAAACACAAGCACAGGTGACCACATGGGACTGTTTTTGTGGTCTGAAGTGCCCCTCTGCCCTTGCCCTGCTTGGCTGAGGGGCCTGCCTGTCCTGCTTGTGACCCCGGGAGCTCTGCCATCACATCGAGGGCTCTCAGCCAGCCTCTCAGTGTCCCAGGCCTCGCTGACACGGTGCATGCTCGTGCTCCGACGGTCCTGGCTGCCGTCCTGGGCACTTGGGGGGCTTGTGCCGCAGAGCCGAGGGTGAGCTTCCAGACCCTTTGTTCCTGGAGATGAATGTCCTTGGAATGCCACCACCTTGTCTGACTGCGACTGCAGGAGTGCCCCATGCTTGGGTCCTGAGGCCCTGGGCTGCTCTGAGGCACTCACGTCTGAGATCCCCTGGGCCAGAGCCAGCCCCACCAACTCTGGGCCTGCGTGCCCCCACTCCACCCGGCACACCTGAGAGGATCAGACTGGACCTGCCTGCCTGAGCACTCTGGGCTGTGTCCCCCTCCAGCCTCGTGGTGGGCACAGGTGGCTCTGGCCTCTGCTCCACCTTCTGGACACCAGATGCAAGTGTGGACCCTGCCTGGCTGCCTTGCACACCCTGTGTCTACCACCTGGCCCCAACAGGCAGGCCAGGGCCAGCGCCATGACACAAGCCCACCTCTTCCCCACGTGGCCCCTCCTCCCCAGGGCCTTGCAGTGACACTTGCTGTCCGAACACCAGATTCTCCACCTACAGCATCTTAGGCTTTTTAAAACCCTTTTTAGATCAAGACTGGTCTTGAATTCTGGCCCACTTGGTCCTCCTGCCTCAGCCTCCCAATTGCTAGGACTAGATGTGGCCATTGTGCCCAGCTCTACAAACTTTAAGCTTGAAACATTTCAAACATATACAAAAAATCAATCCCCACTTTCCACCACGGCAGACTCGCGGCCAGTCTGCTTCATCACAGCCCCCCGTGTCCCTGTGCCCAGACAGTAAACGGCATTCTGTCTGTAAATCTCTCTGTATGTGCCTCTAAGAGATAAGGGCTGTTTTTAAAACTCTACCCAGGTAGTTGCAGGACAAACAGCCAGGGGCACCCAGGAGGTGCCGTCACCCGCCCAGAGCCTTCACTGCAGGCTGCCAGTTCGGTTTCTCCGCAGGGGAAGCTGGCAGGTTGCCCCAGGCACTGCTCGCCCCTGGGTTTTGCTGAGGGCATCCTAATGCTGGGTCTCCCCTGTTCCTTGTCCCCTGCCTGTCCTCTGACTCTGAACCGGTAGCTGCATCCAAGGGCTCTGCCAGGCTTGAATTCCATGTTTCCCTCGAAGGCTTTGAGAGGGCTGTGAACAAGCACCTGGACTCAACCCACCTGCTCTGTCCTCTGCGACGTCAGCTGCAGAGAACCAGCACCTGCGCTGGTGGCTCCAGGATTGCATGTGGTGGTTTCTGCGCTCTGCTTCCTTCTTCCTTTATTAACCCGGATGTGCGGTACTCAGATGCTACCCCTCACTGGAGGGCTATTCCAGAGCACCCTTTATACAACAAAGGCAGCAACGTGCTTGTGCCCTGCCTGCAGAGGGACACTGAATCCAGACTGGACGCAGTGCATGGTGCCCAGTGCATGTGTGTGCTCTGTGTGTGTGTACACACGATGTGCGCGCATATGCCCCAGGCCTCAGGACATAGGTGATCAGGGCCTCCTAGGCCCTCACACTGTCCTTAGGTAAATGAGAGCCCATGTAGGGGCAGCATGTGTCAAGTTTTGTGGCCTGGAACTTAGAGCTGGTGGCTGCGCTGGGACTGCCCTGTGGCTGGGGGTTGGATGGGGTACAGTGAGGCCTTGGGCAGATTGAACTAGACACCCAATTCCCTCAGACCGCTGCTATCTGTCCCCAGCTGGCCCGTCTTCCCCATGCAGGTGTGCACACTTAGTACACACTCCCTGGTTGTGTGAGCCCAAGACCTGCTTGAGCTGCCGCCTGTCCACCAGCCCCAAGGCCAGCAACACAGAGCTGTGACATCTAAGGTCAGAGCAGGAGGCTGGCCTGGACTATGTCAGGACCACCTTGGACTCAAGGTGGAGCCATGTGGTCAGGACCACATGACCGTCCTAGAGGAATCCTTGGGCACCCTGTAGGTCTCCCATTCCCCAGCTCCTCTTCCCAGCCACCTTGCTGGCCCCAGCACGGGTCTCTGGCCTTTGGGAGAAGCCTGGCATCATGTCCTGGCCACCCTGCCCTGTGTCTGCCCCCCCCACCCCCCCACACTCAGGCTGCACTCAGAAAGCACCTGGCCGGCTCTCTTCAGCAGTGACGCTTCCAAGTTGCTCAGAAACTCCACCACCATCACCCAGCTTGCTTCCAAACATGCCTTCTGCTTGCAAATGCCCAGGACAGAGCCTCATGGATGTGGAGGATGGCAGACCTTGTGGGGGACACTCAAGCTGGGAGAGGCCTCCTGTTTTGGAAGGTGGGGCCATTTTATTGGCCAACACATTAACTCTTCCAAACGTGATCAGTGAGAGGGAGATGCATGGGTAAGGATGCCCCAGCTTGGGCCAGGTGCTGTAGAGAGTGGTGTTCACATGGGCACTGGGCACAGTGATCCCCCCGCAACCACTCCTAAGGCGGTGGACGGTGGTGCGGTTGGGAGGGGTGGTCAGAGCCTCTTCTCAGGAGCTTGCTTTTTAAGCACACTGTGCTGTGCTCTGGACTCTGGGAGCCTGGTCAGAGCCTCAGATGAAAGAGCGTCCATGTAATCAGCCGCTACAAGAACACAGCCAGGCCTTCAGAGAGAAAGGGAGGTGCCGGGGAGGCCAGTGAGCGCTAAGTGGACCTTACAGAGCTGCCTCTGCTGAAGTCGGAGCCCCTCCCAGGGTGGATGCTCAACAGGCATCCTTAAGGGGACCAGTGACCAGGACCAGGCTGAATAGGCCTCCCAACTTGCCCAGCAACAAAACCAGATGAATGGCACTTGGAGAGGCCAAGGGATAGTGTGGAAGGTCCCCAGGCATCAGGAGAGAGAGGATGCTTCTGAGGGCTGATAGCTGATGGGGGCTGAGGCAGTCCCCCCATCCCTCCTCTGCTGTTGGTGATTGGATTAGTCCAGGCTGCTCCAGACGGAGCCCAGGAGCTGGGAGGCCTGGGCTATGCCCAGGTAGCTCCTGGGGCAGGTACCACTGACACGTCAAGTCAAACCTGCAGGGGACGGTACTGAATATGCGGAGGGCACCCCCGGGCAGAGCCCACAATGGACAGGGCCTGGGGAAGGAAAACAGAGGGGGAAGGTAATTCTCACCGTCCACCGCATGGGGCATCCTGTTTGCTTCTGCCTCTGGTGTGGGGAGGGCCCTGCTGGAGAAGACGCGTCCCCTGCATCCCAGTGAGGGCCCCTTGAGTGGGGACACTGGGAGCCACAAGTTCTATGTGCAGCCATTGGGGACCAAGAGTTTATTCTGCCCCTATGACGCATGTTGGAAGTGGCCGGCAGAGGGTCAAACCCAGGGATTGACAGCCAGATGACAGCTGTCCCTGCCCTGACACTTCTGTCCCCTAAGCTGCACCTCACCATACTGGGGCTTCCAAGGCAACTGTGGAATTCTGTTGGAGGCTGCCTCCGCTAGTAAGGGCCAGCCAGATGGGGACAGTCAGCCGGCCCCTTGTCAGTGTGGCACAGCACACAGACCCTGCCCAGGCCCCCCACCCCTGCCTTCTTCACCCACCCAGGGGTGGAGGAAAGCCTGTACCTTGTGGCCACCTACATCCTAGACTCAAGACACCATACAAAATGTCGTTTCTGCCCAACTTCCTCTGTGGACGCCCACCTCACACCTCGGGCCTTCACACCTGGGGCCCAGCAGAACTCCCCAGCCTGCCGCCGCCTCATCCACACCCACTCCAAGGAGGGCTCCAGCCAGAGATCCGGGGTGCTCTGCTCAGACCTTCAGGCCCCCCTTTAGCCATCTGGCCCTGCCCGCTCCCCACAGTCCTCTCCAGCTCCCAGCACCAACCGTCACAGCAGCATGAGGGCAGTGGGGAGGGCTTCTGCCCCTGGCCCTGCAGACCTCCAGCTTCTCTCAGACAGCCAGCTTTGTAATCACCCCACTTCACAGAATGCAAGACTGTGGCTAAACGGGGAGCAGCCCACTGTGGCATCAACCTCAGCCCCACCTCCTGGGTTTGGCCAGGGCAGGGTCGAAGCCCAGGGGGAGCCCAGCTGGGGCTCCTGCTGCAGAGTCCTGGGGTGGAGCCCTTGAGGGCACAAAGCCTTTAGAAAAGCTGATGAAGGGACCGCTCCCTGAGAGCACACTCAGGTTTCCGTCAGATCTCAGAACCCCCTGGAGGTCACCGACTGGGGCTCCAGGCCCTTTCAGTGGAAGGAGGGATTGAGGGGGCGTGGGGCTGGCCACGCTGGCCTGAGAAGTGGGAAGGAGTTGGGCTGCTCTGAGGCACCCTTGCTCCCTCCCAGCCTCCCTGGAGTGGCCTTTCTCAGTGACCGCTCTCTGGGCCTTGGCACCCAGAGGGCACACCATGGGAAACTACTTTGGCGAAAGAAAGGGAAGTGCTCAGGCTCCCGGAGAGGGGCTAATGAGGCCCATTTCCTCCTGCCCTTCTCTCCTGAGGCACTCACCTGGATGACGACCTTGACGGTGGCAGTGTCCACGATGGGTGTGCACACCAGGCCTCTGGGGTGCTGGCCGTCAGCACTGCGGTTCTGCTGGCCCATGGTGAAGAGCATGGGCACGGCCAGGAGCCCTGAGGCCAGCCAGATAGCGCTGATGAACTTCTTGGTGCGGCTGCGGGACATGAGGGTCTTGGCCTTGAAGGGGTGGCAGATGGCCAGGTATCGCTCCACGCTCAGGCTGGCCACGTTGAGAGCGGTGGCATAGGTGCAGGCATCCCTCAGGAAGTAGTAGCCCCGGCAGACAGCATCGCCAAAGGCCCAGGGGTGGTGCACCCAGATGAAGTTGTACAGCTCCACCGGCATGGCCAGCAGCAGGATGAGCAGGTCCGACAGCGCCAGGCTGCCCAGGTGGTAGTGCACCGTGCTCTGCAGGTTCTGCAGGGACTTCTTGCGGGCAAGTGTGAACGCTGTCACTGAGTTGCCCACGGTGCCCACCACGAAGAGTGCCAGGTACACTGCGGTCACCAGCACCTTGGAGTAGATGTCGGTGTTTACGTCCAGGTCGCTGCTGGGCGCAGGAAGGCTGCGCTGGGACACGTTGCCGGAGCCGTTGACCAAGCTCGGGGTCAGGAGCGCTGCCTCCACCTCTGACTGCGGCTGCTGGAAGAAGTCGGCCACCAGCGCACCAGCGCTGCCTGGCACGGAGCTGTTGAGGCGCATGGTGGGCGCGGGGTCCGCGGCTTTGTCCTGCTCCTCTGGGGCTGGAAGTCCAGGCAAGGGTGGGCGCGCCTCAGGCAGGGCAGATGAAGAGGAGCCGGGGGAGGGTGCAGAGGCGAGGAGGCGCGCCGTCCAGTCAGGAAGCGCTGGACGCCGACCGTGCTGCCCTGGGAGAGCTCGGCTCGCGCTCGCCCGGGGCTCCCCGGGCTCGGGGCTCAGCTCTCCGGATTCCCAGCTCTGTGTTCCTGGGTCCGCACTCTGCGGTTCCTCAGGCTCCTTCCAGGCTCTGCGTCTGCCGGGCTGGGGGCTGCCTGCGATCTCTAGTCTCTGCGGTCACCGGGGCTCCGGGGAGGCAGCGCGGTCCCCGAGCACAGCACCAGGCCCGGTTCGGGCTTCGCGGGAGAGCCCGTGGCGCCAGCGGAACGCACGCACCGCTGCCGGCGCGCTCGCTTCCCTCGCTCGCGCTCTCCTGCCTCGCTCTCCGCGCACCCAGGCTCCGCACACCTCCTGCCGCGCCCGCGCCCTCCCGGCTCCTCTCGTCTCCACTGAGTTGGCGGCTGCGCGGCGCGCCCTGCGGTGAGGGGCGGTGGAGGAGGAGGGAGGCAGCCCCAGCCGCTGTCCCCTCCCCGCAGACTGACGGCCGCCCCTGCGTGCCGTCAGGGGCAGTCTGGACTCGGTGAGCCCAAGGAACCGGGATTCCGGTGCGAAGGGGTATTGAGGAATGGGTCTTTCCAGTCACACCGCCCCAGGCAGCACAGCCTCTTTCCAGTCTCTCCAAACTTTTCAGCCCCCCAGCAAGCCTCCCGGAAAGCCCCCCGTGGCTTCCAGCTGGCTGAGCAGGAAGAGGTCTTAGTGGGGAGAGCTGGGTGAGGAGGCTTCCCGCTGGCAGGGCTGGGCCTCTGCACTGGCTGGCTGAGCCCTCCTCCCTCCCCAGTGCCCATGGGTGCCAGAGGCTGAGCACCAGACAGGCTCCACCACTCTTCAGTCGGGAAGGGGTTGAACAGGGTCCCAGGGTGGGAGGACGGAAAGCAGGCTGACAGAGCCACAGTCCTCGCCATGCTGGCTCAGTCCTGTTCCCCTGGCAGAGGGGTCCTCTGGGCCGTCTGGTGCTGGAGGGGTGTGAATGGGCACCCTCTGGGCCACTGCCACCACCTGGATCTGATCAGAGCCCTGCCCTGCAGGGTTTAGGGGGCAATGTGTGATGGGGAGGGGCATTTGCCCTGGGGAGCGGTGCAACCCTGGGTACCCTCCACCCCCGCCCCCAGCCTTCCACAGGTTGCCTCTCCCCCTAGCTTGGCCACTGGAGGGCAAGCTCTTTGAGCTTCCCCAAGTCCTCCCCTGCAGGGGTTCTGGCAAGAGCAACCAGGCATGAGCTTGCCCAGGGCCACACCAATGTCTTCCCCTGGGCCCTCCCTGACCCTTCCCCTGCTCCCCTCCTCCTAAGAACCTATCCTGGATCCTGGGGTGTCCAAGGTCAGGAGGACAGCCCAGGGGCCTGTCCCTGTCCCTCATGGGCCAGCTGGTTGTATCTGCTGTGTTGGAAATAGGAAATCAGCAGGCTGGGGGAGTCACAGGGTACTGAGAGAAGGGGAGGTGGACAGCAAACCCTGCCCAGACTATGGGCCCAGATTCGGCCACCAGGGAGACACTCTGGCTGCTGGCAATGGCTCTGCTGGCCCATGTGCACACTTCTGTGTTCTGCCTGCACTGGGCCTGCCTGCTCTACCAAAGTGTGATGTCCTCGTCAAGGTGTCTTAGCACATAAAAACAAACACGTAAACAATTGATCTTCAATTCAAAGGAAACACAAATGGTCCCTTTGTTCACAGTTCATATCATAGGCTTGGAGATGGACAGTAAGGATCAAGTTGTGGCCCTTAATGTTTAACTTCTCTGCTGAGCACTGTGGTACATGCCTGTAATCCCAGCAGCCCAGGAGGCTGAGGCAGGAGGATGGTAAGTTCAAAGCCAACCTTAGCAACTTAGCAAGGCCCTAAGGAATACAGTGAGACCCTGTCTCTAAATAAAGTGTGTGTGTGTGTGTGTGTGTATATCTATATCTATATCTATATCTATATCTATCTATCTATATATATATATATATATATATATATATAGAGAGAGAGAGAGAGAGAGAGAGAGAGAGAGGTGCCTAGGGATGTGGCTCAGTGGTTAAATGTCCCTGGGATCAATCCCTCATCTAAAAAAATAAATAAGTAAATAAATTCTCTGGGCCTCAACTCACCTGCAGAACTGGGGAGTGACAAATTAGCACTCCCTGGGACAAGGCTGATGCTCACGGGTCTCATCTGGAGTGAAGGGTGTTGAGTGGATTGTGCATCAATTTTGCAGGATATGAGGCACATGCCCAGTTTAGCAAAATCGGCCTGAAAGCTCCACTGGATCAAACTGGGCGTGTCTTTGTAAAGCACTTCCCACTGGCCACAGAAGCAAGCATGGGCTGGGACCTGAGTGTCCACCAACACTAGAGGTGGTGGTGCTGGCCACTCACTGCCTCTCAGGGCTGCAGTCACAGCTGGGTCTGCCCGAGGACCGTGCCATCTGGCCACATCTGTCAGGAGCCCCTAGAGGAACCCCCAGCCCTTTCTAGCCCGGGGCTGCAGCTGCACAGGCAAACGGTTTGTTTCCAGCTTGACCTTTGGCTGAGCTTCTCTTGAAGCTTTTGTTCGGTGCTAACACAGGAGTTTAAAAATCATGAAGGCAACTTAGTACAAATATTATGACGAGGCAGTTGCTTAAAGCCACCTAGAAAAATGTCCCTGGAGAAGGATGTTTGCTCTACACAAAGTAGGCAGCAGGCTGTCCTGGGACCTGGTGACCATACTCTGGGCTGTTCTTCCCTGGTAGAGCCAGAAAGGCTCAGCACCACAATCAGCTGATTCTCCCAGTGCTCTGGATGGAACACAGGGCCTTGCATGTGGTAGGCAGGTGCTCTAGCCCTGAGCTACATGCCAGCCCCCAAGCAACTGATTCTTTAAGGAAAGTGGTGGCGAGGAGCTTGCAGGACCCCAACCCAGCACACTGTAGCCTGGCTCAGCCTTGGAGAGCATGGCTCTGGGGTGTAAGCACTGAGCTGTGAGCTGCTCCAGACCTCTGGAGAGCCATAGGTCTCCGCCTCCTGCCCTGGCTCAGGCCCTTCAGGTGCTGGAGCTGGCCTGTCCCCTGTGCAGCAAGGGCCAAGATCCCCTCAGAGTTCTCTGTTTGTTGGATGCAGCCGTGCAGGGGTGATTTCCACTCTATGTGCTTGTGTGACATAGCAAGGTCACATCCCAGTCCCAAGGGCCACCAACGCTGCCCTGGGGAGCTCCTCCCATGGTGCTGCAGACGCCCTAGAATGGCAGACGGGGAAGGTCAGGGTAGGTCCTCACCTCCTCACCGTGGGTTTCCAGGACTCTCCTTGTTTTAAAGCAGGAAGTCCAAGGTCTGGGAACTGGGCCCACTCAGCTCCCAGCAGAGCTGGCTACTCCATCAGGACGGAGGCTGAGGGACACCTGTTTGTTTTCTTTTCTATCTTTTCCCATGTCCCCAACACTGCCCAGGACACACTTGGTGCCTTGTGGATTTCTTCTGAACCGATAGGACGAGTAGTCACCAGCTGAGTTCCTCCTGGGCACAGGTCCAGAGGGCTCCCGCATGCAGGCATGCCGCTTTCTGTAGGCACCGCCCCTCCCTCAACTGACTGCCAGCCTATTACTGGACAAGAAACTTTCTTCTGGAAATTAAAACATTAACCAAGTTCATAATAATAGCTGCTTCAGTTACCTGTGCTGCGTAACAAAGCACCCAGAACTCAGTGGCTTCAACCTGCGTCCTTTATCTTCACTGTTATTATACATGGGGAGGTGGGTGGGGTTGACTGTGATTGAGATGCAGGGATGCAATGTGCATATTTCACAGAGTTGAGCTCCCACAACATGGAAATCGCACATGTTCCAGGACTGCTGCCTTCCAAGAAGGAATCTTAAAAATAGAGCAACACATGTGCCTGTGTGAGAGGAGGAGGGGCCCTCTGCCTGGCACCTGCCTGTGCTCACAGCATCTCCCGGCTGTCGGATCCAGAGGTCGAGCTCCAGGCCTGCTGAGCCTTGATATCAGCATCCCTGCCCCTCGTACTCCCAGTCTCCGCTCTGCCATTGGCCAGCTCTCTGGAAACGTGAGCTGTGTTCTGGTGGAAGAGTCAGGAGGGGAGCGGGGTGGCCATGTGAGTTCATGGTGCCTGCAAGGGACAGGTGGCCCCAAGGCCAGGGGTTTAAAAATCATCAAGGCAACTTAGCACAAATATTATGACAGGGGTATGAGGGTCCTGGAGCCATGACTGGGGTAGGAGGGTCTTTGAGTCCTGGCTCTACCACGCCCTGACCCTGGGTTCTGGGCAAGGGAAACAAGTCAACTGAGCCTCAGTTTCCCTGTCTGTGTGGGGCAGATGGTGCGGTTCCTACGTGGCTGGCAGCTGGGTGCCTCTCCTTCCCACCCAGTCTCCAGGGCCCCCTTCCCTCTTGTGCCCAAATGCCCAGAACCTTCTAGTCCCTGCCCTGAGGCGGCTCAGCGTCACTGACTGTTCTGAAGCAGGCCGTCTAAATCTCTATTTCTGCCAAGCCCCCTCTGCCTGATGGTCTGCCTCACAGTTGTCCAACACTTATCACAAGTGTCTGCCATCTGCAGGAAGCCAAGCCCTCCCCACCCCACGGAGCACTTTTCCTGGGGCACCCCGGCCATCGAGTTCCCCAGTTTCCTGGTCCCCGGGCCCTGCCTGGAGGCTCATCAGGACTGGCGCCTGGCGGGCAGGTGGGCGTGTGTGGAGCGCACAGAGCACTTTTGGGGCAGCTGGTGCTTCTCCTGCCCAGTGCCCGATGCCGTCCATGTGGTCTGCGTGTGCACTCGTGCGTGTGCGGGTAAGTGCGTGCTACAGCAGTGACGTGCTGGGCCCCCACCGGGGCTGCAGAGGTGACAGTTGGTGGGCGCAGGCCCTCCAAGCCCTCTGCCCCTGCTTGGGGACCCCCTGGGGATGCCCTGCTCTCTGTCTCTCTCAGGACTGGGCACCCACCTTGCCATGAAAGCTGTGCCCAGAGTGGGGAGGGAGGAGTGTCCCTGCAGCCCTGCCCGCTGACCCTTGTGTTCTTTCCGCTTGGGAGCCCCGGCCCTGGCTGGAGCTCTGGGAATTTGCCTCCAGCCTCTACGTGGTCCATCGTGAGGAGTCTGTTCCACACGCCTGCCCACGGTGTTCAGCTCCAGAGGTCAAGCAATCTGCCTCGTGCCTCACAGACACAGCAGGGCCTCGGAGGGGCAGGCCCCTGTGGCGTCCATTTTCTTCCTCACCACTCATGGGTCAGCAGAGAAAGTGCTCAGGGAGGGGACCAGGGGGGACGGTGGGCAGTGACTGTGGGCAGTGAAGGTCCAGGCTGCCCTCCAGGGGCCTGCCCCATAAACTAGGCTCTTCCCAGAAGTCCCTCCGTCTCTGTGAGTGTGCGGCAGGTGGAAGCCACAGGGGAGCCCCGAGGAGTGCA